AGGAAACCCTCTGTAAGCTCACAAAGCTTTTCACTTTTACACCTCAAAAGCTTTGTATCAGTTCCACTTTCCCCCCAGAAGTGTTACAGCAGCCTTGTCTGCTATTGCAGGTTTGCCCTCAGGAAACCAGTAATGTGATACGAGGGTACATCTCCCTAGATCACAGATTCAGGTTGCATCTGGCTGAGGAGATACGTGGCCTCATGATTTTATTGCTTACTCATAATGACTGGTGTGTGGAAGCAGAGAGGACAGGTGTTTCCATCCCCTCCTGCAGCAGTTGGTTTCAATCTCAATGTTGTACAGGGACAGACCTTGACAGAGAGTTTAACACGGGTGTTCTCACTTCAGTTTACTCTGGTGTGATCTTTCTGGAGCCATTCTGACCTGCCTGCACTCCTGCATGAAACCAGAGAACTTCTATGGCTGGGGCTGCCAGACTACTGCTTCAGGCTAAAATCATGTATATGTGTGTGTTGGAGCTTTTTTTAGGAGTCTGCAGGAACATTTCTGCAGGTGGGAAACCCAAGCCTGAAAAATTGGAACACCTTGGCTGTAATCGTCTGGTACCAGGCATGAGCCTCTAGGCCACACTGTCTCCAAAATCACTACCCCAAAACCAGCTTAAATGGAAACAAGAGTTAAAAGAGTGGGCAGCTGTTACATTTATAGACAGTACATGTCTGCAAGCACTGCAGTTGTCTTTGTTCACTGTGCTGGAGTGTGTCATGTGAAAAATGCAGCACCTAACCTGTGGAAAATCTCTGAGTGTTTTGGGGCCAGTATTGCCTGCAAGTGTCATCTTTCAGCACAAGCTGACAGAGGTGGCAGTCTCTGTAGTCTTCTGATTAGATGAGACAGGCTCTTCTCAGGCTGTTGGTGCTACCAGAAGGAGAGTAAAGCTTGACCACATCCAGCGGTGAAACAGTACCATTTGTAGCAATTCAGTGTGTGGATGGGAAGTTAGGTACACAAGGAACTGGTAATTCTTGCTAAGAGTTTGCAGCTCTTGAAAAACAGCATAGCCATATCAAAGTGGGTTAGTCTGTTGCCTTTCAGGTGGAGAGAATGAAGCTGGATTGAAAACTACTGGAAGTTCAGACATGAAAAGGTGTTTTCCTTGGCTTGCCTAGCAGAAATCAAGTGAAATGCCAAAATACATGTTTGAAGTCTGAGAAAATGCTGCCTGAGCTGTGGGCTCAGAGCAGGTTGTCAAATGTGCAGTGCTCCTGCTGTGCTTACTCATGTCATTGTTATTCATGAACAGAATTCTAGGTATCCTCAGTGTTGTTTTAGGGTAAAAACTGTTTTCAGGTTGGTTTGCTCAGTTTCAATTCACCCCTTGTTGGAAGGCTGCACTGTGAAGAGTGACATATCAGTATACCAAGCACATTAAATGACAGCTGTTTGCTTTTTTTCCCTGTGTCTAGATAAGACTGTTGTATCATAGGGAACTGTTGGTTGCTGTAAAACGACTTCATTTGTGACCCACCAGAGCAGCAGCCTGATGTGTGAAGCTTTTTACTTCATTTTAATTGTTCATGACATTTTATGATGTTTGGTGCCTGAAAAAACCCCGAACAGTTTACCAGTGTTCATTACTGAAAATAATTTGTAAGGATTTATGAGATCCTGGTGCCAACACCAGAAAAAATAAACTCATATATGAAACTATCAATCACTTTAAATTGACGTGTTTTTTTCTGTCTTGAGGAAAGATGGCCACAGCTGTATGAAATATATCTCCTGACTAGCTTTTCATCACATAAGAAAGTTCTAGTTCCAGTTATAGCTTTAGTGATCTTCATTTTAATTCCTCAGACGTGAAATATAATCTGGGGAAACTTCCTTCTCCAGCTGTTTGTTGTTTGGTTTTTTTTTGTTTGGTTTTGAATAAATTTAGTAAACCTACTCTTGTTTTGTAGGGTGCTGTGAAATCTAGAAATCTGGAATTACTTCTTTGTCATTTATAGATTTTAAAACTAGCTTTTTATTTACAGCATTAGTTTTAGGACTAGGGAAACCTTGCCAGAAGACTGGATCTTCTACTTAGGAAAAGGTAATGAAAGCAGGTCATGCCTGGAACAGCAAAAGTGATGAAACTCAGCTTGGTTTACCTTGGGCTCCTGAAACTGCAGGCAATTGTAGCTCTTTGCCATGTGGACTCTTGGCCTCTAGTGAAGAATGAGCCTGTGATGCTGTTTGTCCCACAGTTTGGGTACTTGCAGGGAGGGCTCTGCCTGATAAGGCTCAGGCTTTGTGATGCTTCTTTTACTGTCAAATCTGACTGAAGTGGAGTGAGATTACTGTACTGTCTGACAGGTTTTAGTGATGCTTGTAAGTAGTAACTGTGGGACATCTTGAAGTCTTGTTACATCCACTCTGAGATCACTTTAAATCCTGAGCAGCAGCAGAGACATCCTGAGCCTTCAGAGAGGTGGCTTTGAAGATGACAGCAGTTAGTGTGAAGAATATAGGCCATATTCTGATTTTGTGCTGTGAACGCTACAAACTGTGTTGAAGTCATATCTTTGTTTATGGGCTGAACTGTTCAGCTTTCCAAGTAAAATTTTCCTTTATTCTCTTGGCAATTAAGTGAGATGATCAGCCAATTCCATTCTGAATGAAAAGAGGGGGAGACAATATCTGAAGTATTTTTTTTCCGTTTTTTTCCCTAATGGCCTTTAAGTTATCTCGTAGCCTTCTTTACAAGCAATGCCAAAGTAAATTCTGATGCCTCTTGGCCATCTCTCGTTTTTGGAGACCAGCCATACACAAATGGTTGCACTTCTATCTCCTAGCACATATATAATTAAATCTGGCCCTGCAATGAAAGAGAGAGACTGGAAAAGTTCCTGAGCAGGAGCAGAGGCTGATTAATACAGATTATTAGAGATTGCTGATTGAAAGGCTGCAGCTGTGATTGCCATAGTGGGGAGAAGGGAGCAAGGTCTTAGTGTTTGTAGTGGTGTCTGCCAGGTCCTCAGTTTACACTAACAAAGATGTTTTCTGTGTGCTGTCCTGCACCCTAAAATCATCCACTACACCCCGTAATCCATCTGTGCTGCTTTCAGGGGGTGTTACTTCTGCCATCCCCAACAGATGAGCTGGGAGGCTTTCCTGAACTCCCCAAAGCTGTGTGTTTGACTGAGAAGCTGACCTGACAGGTATAATTCAGCTCTGTTCTGTTTCTCTTTAACAGGCGACTGCGATGTCAGTGGATTGCCTGGGACAGCGCGCAGTACTCTCGGGGTGAGCGTGACAGACCCTGTTAGAAGTGTGTCACAGTCATTTCCACAGGCCAGATCAGCAGCCTTCAGGCTGACCTCAGTTGAAGGGCTGATGGATTGTTTCAGAAAGGTGCAGCTGAATTCTGTTCAAGGCTTGATGAAAAGGATTCTGGGTCATGTTCCCAATGGAATACAGAGTGAAGAGACACAAACAACAGCACAATAAAATCCTGATACATGCTTTCCCAGATCCCCTTGTGGGAGGTGAAACATCATGAAGTACTGTTTGGATTCTGCTTGAAATATAGATTAGATAATTTCCTAAGGCAAAGTTTGCCCCAAATATTCCCACGGGGCGCTCTGACCTGCTCCTCTGCTGGTTCGATGTGGGATGATACTCCACAAGAGCAGTAGATGCCACAGACTCCCAAGCTGCCTAAGCTTCCAGGAGGGCTTGAAGTGGCCACCTCCAGGGCAAGTCTTCAGCTCAGCAGTGCCTGTCCAGCTGCTGCTTTTCAGTACTAACAGCTGTTCCTGTCCTGTCAGTGTCACAATTACCACACCAATGAGGATGTTCACTTCAAATTCAGGATCATGTGGGCGTAACTGATCTTTGGTTAGCCCTAGAGGAAACAGGTTCTTTGAGTCAACTCAGAGGGCCACTTGCTTCCCTGTGAACCCTTAGTCTGGCAGCCCTGCACAGGAGTAACCAGCTCAGCAGCTGGTTTGGGTCTAATTTGATGCTTCTTCCTCTTTACACTTGCCCAGTTTCACAGCTCATGTATTTGGGCCAATAGCAAGCTGGGGACAGCCTGACTGCAATTCAAACATCAGGTCTGTGGCCCTGTGCTTTTCAAGCTTCTGCAAGCTTAGCTGCCCTTCAGGATTTGCCTTGTTGCTTTTAAAGCTGTGTGAGAGCCTCAGAGGGCTCAGCATCTTGATTTTTGGAGTAGGGAGTCCTGAGAACTTTGGTCTGGAAAGGCAGCAAAGATATTCATGATGTTCCATCTCTTGGAAGAATGGCCAGTGCTCAGAGCAGCTGTGTGCTCACTGTGCAGCTGCATAGGTGGCTCTGCTGTGGTTAATTATGTTGGGTGCAATACATTTTGGTTCTGGCCTTCCATAGGGTTCAGCTGGCTCACAATTATTTCTGGGCAGTTTCTCTTGCTGGTGGGATGAATCACACTGAATGATAGCTTGCCTAGCTTTGTGGGGAGTTGGCCACATCCAGCAGAATGTATGAGCTCAGGTTTGCCATCATGCAGAACTATTTCTGCTGCATATAGAGTTAGCTCAGGTAAGTAATAGAGCTGATCAGTGCAGGACTGTGTCTGCCCACGGTAACAAGCTGCTGCAGCTGAGCAAGAGCTCTGTGCAGGTGTTCTTGCACTGTCTGCAGGCCTAAGCCCCCCAAACTGTGGTGTGGAAAGAAGTACCCACGTAGAATCATCTGACGTTTGTCAAGGCTCATTAACTCTGGCTCAGAGCAACCTCTCCACACTGAAGCTGTTGCATTGCACTTCCAGCCCTGTGCCACTTTGTCTCTGCTGCTGCAGTATGAGGCCAGCAATGCCTATTTGGATGTGTTTGCACCCTTTTCCAGCGCTTCCTTTTGTATCCTAGTTTTCTGAGGTTTTCTGTGGTCTGAGTGATCTGTTACATTTGCATATCCTGTCTAATTACAGTGTGTCTTGTCTTTTCTGGAGGGTTGTTTGGGTTTTTTTGGTAATCAGCTTTGATTATGTGAAATGTAGCATTCTCAGGAGTAGTGTTTTCACCTGTCTTGTGAAATGCTTCTCTTCTTTTGATTCTTGTGTCTCTAGACATGAGGCTGTGAGCTCCATGTGAGGTTGGGGTTTTGAGATCAGCCCCTTTGTATCTGTGTCTTGCAGCCGGCGTTTCCTCTACATAGTCAACCTGGATGCACCGAATGAGGGTCATCGAAAGATCTCTCGGCAGAGCAAGTGGGACATTGGGGCAGTGCAGTGGAACCCCCACGACAGCTATGCATACTACTTTGCAGCTTCGGTAAGTTCACTCATTTACAAGCTGTAACTCATCGTCTTCCCTGGTCTTCTTCCCTGGTCTTTCATGGGTGAGCTGCAGAGCTGGAAGGCTGTATAGAGCTGGCACAGATGTGCTTCTGCAAGTCACATTGCAGGAACAAGGCCTAACTGATTTACTGCCAGTGAGGCATTTGGCCCACTGGCTCTCAGTTGTCGGTCAGTCAGGGTTGAATCTAGTCTTGCTTGTCATTTACAAAACACCTTGCCAAATAAAGCAGGCATCCAAATGGTCCTTTTCTGGAGGGAAGAGGGATGTGCTCTAACTTCCGTTCCATTAGGTTCATGCACTTCATGAATTTCTTGCTCTGTGCTGTTTGGTTTTCATCTCCCTGCCATGCTGGTGGGATGTGGTGTACCAGGCAGTCTGTAAATAGCACAAGTCAATAGTGGCTCACCGCTGTAACAGCCCAGGTTTGCAGATGGGCAGGGAGCAGGTCGTTGAGTTCTTATTCTGTGTGTGGAGAAATAAATGGGCTGGGCTGAGGAAGCAGGAGAGACCATGTGAGACTGAGTGCAGTTTTTGGCTCTGATCTGTCCTCAGTCTGTCATGCTCTTGTTCACCCAGAGCCCTGAGCTCTGCTGGCAGCAGTCTCGGCCATCAACCACAGCACCGCGGCAACTGGCACCAGTCGGGAGCAGACTGTTCTCAGGGCAAGGTGCCTTTGCTAATGTGTTGTACCCACTTTTATAGCCTGGAGAGTCCTGGAATACTAGGGACGGAGAGATTTCGTCTATTTTTTTTTGAAAAAAACACTTAGCTGAAGGTGGTTTTTTGGGATTTTTGTTGCTATTGCTTCCTGGACTGGCTATGATTGTAATTAAAGGCAGTTTCAAAAGTGGACTGGTGCTGTCAGCTTGGAGCCTCTGCCTGTTTGCTCTCTGACATTCCCCAGCCTGTCTCCTCCCAGTTCCAGCACATGACTGACATCTTAAAGGTGTCTTCAGCAGTGATCTGCTTCTGAACACAGGCAAAAAGGTGTCTGTCAGTTCCACTTCTGGATTCAGTCTGTGGAAATCAAAACCAAATAAGGAAAGACACTGAGCAGGCCACAAGTGGAGCAGGAAAGCTTCTCAGACATTCTCTGAAGACAATGTTCAGTGATTGGTTCATGCTGATCTGAGCTGGACCCTGCTGCAAGGGGGAGCTGTGCCCATCTGAGCACTCCTATCACTGCTCTGAGCAGACATAGAAACCCATCTCGTTCCAGACTGAAACTTGGTGTAGCTGGCATCAAATCTGGCTGTTCCTCTTTATAAACAAACATGCTAAGATGCCCTGGGGATTTAGATGTAGTTGCTGACACAGATCAGGTGAGGAATCCCCAAGATGAGATCAGACAGCTTTTCCAGTTTGGGTCAAAAATGCCACCTGTCCAGCCATCTCACTGTGTTGTAGACGGCCCGAGGGTCCTGTCACTCTGCACCCCTGTGGATAGAAAGGGAGTGTAAAAGGCTACCATCTTGTTTGCCAGCATCCTCACCTGGTTTGCAGTCCTGCCCTGTTAATTGGAAGTGGTGTAGGCAGAGGGGAATCTGTCCTTGTGTTTGGGCATCTTGTTTTTTAGCTTCCTCCTGGAAGAGCTGAAGCATATTATTTTGCTGCACTTGGCTGTGTCTGCCCTCTGGCTTGAGCATGTTTCTGGGGGCTCCTAAGCTGCTGTTTGAGAAATGCTATTGTTTGCAGTCCTAGGTCCTTGTTACTTCTTTTGTGTGGCCACAGATGCTTGACCAAGAGGGTAATGAAATTGTTGGAAGGGAATACTGATATTTATCACAAAATGAATGTTCTTTTAGAAAATGCTCCTGATGGGAGGAGCTGTCTCTCCTCCACACCTGGTGCTAGGGGCAGCATTTTGGTATGAGATGCTCATCTAAGAGTCTGAGAAACTTCTGGTGATCCCTATGTTGTATCTTGTCTCTGGAGTCCTAGATAAATCCCGTTGGGTAATTTCACTCTACCCCTTAAATCTTTCTGTCAATAACATGCAAGGAGTTTTCCTTGCCTCAAGCTCTTGTGCAGCCTTGCTGGGAACTGTTAGAGAAATGCTGTATATTATTGCTGAGTTGGGAGGAGACCTTCCATTTCAGGGAAGGCTGTAGTGTTTTATCTATGTGCAAGTTGAAATTCACATGAAGCAGCTTTGGGGTGGGAAGAAAACTGGCCACCACAGAAAAGGCTGCCACAAAAATTGCAAGATAAAGGTTGGACTCAATGATCTTAGAGGTCTTTTCCAATCTAAACGATTCTATATTTCTGTGAAGTCTCTTATCTATTATCTTTTCCCTCATCCAGCTGTAAGTCTGGAAACCAGGGGCTAATGAAGATCAAATTTTGAGGTCATGTTCGTTCTGGTTTTCAAAAATCATGAACTTCCAGTCATGGCCCAGGACCCACTGCACTTGGTGCTTTATGCACCCAAAAAGGCAATTTCTGCCCCAGAGAGATTAGAGTTGGCCTGGCCCGAAGTGAACCTTGTTTGAGTCAGCACGTGAACTTGCAGAACATGAACTTACAGCACAATAACTAGTTTCAAGTAACTTTGTGTGTGGCTCCATTTGGGTGAGGATTTGTTGCTAGAGCCCTAAATAATGTTGTCATTGATTCATCTGGTTTGCCTTTGTGGTTTACAGTTAGTGATAAGCACTTAAAGCTTTTCTCCTGTGCTGGCAAGGATGGAAGTACCCTTGAGGGGATGACCTTGAAGCCATTAGATTGTATTGTTTGTGCTTGGCAATGGCCCTGATTATCCCAGAAGGGAATAGGGAGAGAGCTGAGGAGGACCAGTGGTAATCTATCATCCCCCTCACTGAAAACTCCAGTTGTGAGTCTGAACAGACTGGCAGGGGATTTCTGCAGAGGGAATTTGGCTGCGTGTTGCCTGCCATTACAGCATGTTGTTAGGAAATAAAAGCTCCGAGAACATAATTTTGTGGAAACGTTTTGCAATGTGTTTTTTTTTTCTCTCATTCTTGTTTATTTCCAGTTTTAAGTGGGTGTAATTAAAGTGTAAGATTTTGAGAGTCCTTGCAGCCTGTAGTTTCATCTTTGCTCTCCTGCTTTGTGCAAGGACTTTGCTAATCACAGTGTGACTCATTGGTAACTGAGGTTGTTCAAACTGAAGGGAACCTGGTCCTAACACACAGATCCCTGTCCTAGCTTGTTGGCCTGAGACTGTCTCTCCTTTCTTTCATCTAATTTCAGAGCAATCAGCGAGTTGACCTGTATAAGTGGAAGGAAGGTAATGGGGAAGTTTGCACATCACTGCAAGGACACACACGTGTGATCAGGTGAGGAAGAAGTGATGCTGTGGGCTGCTGGGTGGAAAGTGATGTGTTTTTTCATAGAAGCTGAGTGTTTCAGTCCTGGCCCCACTCAGGCTCTGCTCTGAGCCTTTTTCTCACTTCTGCACTGAGCTGCCTTCCCATTTGGTGATAATGTCATGTGTGAAGTGGCTCACCCTCTCATGGCTCCCCCAGTATATCAACTTAGCCCTTGATGTCTGTCCTTGTAATGAGCAACAGCCATCATCTGGGAAACAGATAGCAGCATGTTTATTAAGTTGAATCCCAGCTGTGTTTCTGTGTGATGGCAGCTTAATTAAAGCAGGTAATCCCAAAGACTGAGTTTAGAGAGTGTAACAGTGGTGCAGGGGAGATTGTATTTCAATGCTGGGCTGGAAATTCAGCAGAGGGACTGTTTCTACTCTAGCTCTTAACTGTGGAAAGTATTTTCAGCCCTTGAAATGGCAGTTGTTTGGGCTGACTGGAGGCTGTTTGTGTCCCAGGTGCACTTGATGATCCCAACAGGGAGGCATCCCAGAGTGAGGGGTTGGTGCCAAGGGTGTGTGGTGGCTGGGAGCTCACTGAGACAGTGTCCCTTTGCCTGTGGAGGAAAGAACATACACAGAATAGCTGTAAAGTTCAAGGCTAGGAAGATGCTTCGCTGGAATTTACTTAGAAACATTTCATTGCTTCTTGGAATTTACTTAGAGAAATTATTAAGATCTTGGTTTTTACTTTAAAAAGTTTCAGTAGATGTCCTGGAACTGTTACGAATTTGTTGGAGGATGTACTGGGGCCTTGTGAGGAGTTGATGCAAACTCTGTCTGTGCATTTCTTTACTGATACACTGTGATTTTGCATTTGCAGTGACCTGGACTGGGCAGTGTTTGAGCCAGATCTACTGGTCACCAGTTCTGTGGACACATACATCTACATCTGGGACATCAAGTAAGAATCAGTATGTTTCTGCACTGCAGGGAAATCATTTGACTCCTTTCCATAACTGTCAGCTTGCAGGGCAAAGCACACCGTGATGGGAAGTAGCTGAAGCCCCTGCAAGCACAGCAGGGCTTTTTCTCATCTTTTTAAAGCCAGTTCAGAGTCAGTGAAGGACAGTAGAGTGGGATGGCTGAGCTACAGTCTCGCTCCTGTTTTGAAATAATACCACCTGGCGTCACTTCCTACCCACTTGAGATCTTTCCTCGGTGGTTTTTCCTGGAGCCCAAGGGTGTTCTTCAACCTCAACCTGTTGGGTTTTTTAGCTGAGTTAATGAGCACCATCTCATGATCCTGTAGCTATTTTCCACTAAATTCAGTAACTGCTGTTGGTTCTCTCTTAGTGGTGGGAGTACTGACAATGGTATTCAGGAAGGGTTTCCTGTGGAGTTGCCCACTCTGAAGACATTCAAACCCCACCTGGATGCGATCCTGTGTAACTTGCTGCAGGTGGCCCTGCCTTGTCCATTGAACTAGATGATCTCCAGAGGTCCTTTCAAACCCTTGTTGTTCTGTCTTTGGGACTTCCCTTAATTCCTGGTGCTTCTTATCATGAGTAATTTCAGGGTGGCAGATATTTCCCACTGTACGTCCAAACTTCACCAATCTTTAAACCCCCTGTTTTACACCTGAGAAGCAAGGAGCTGGCACTGGCCCTGCTGGGTTCTCTTGCTGGCTCTACAACTCTTTATGACCCCTGGCAAGTCACTTTGTTCCTCTCTGCCTCCCTTGCTCAGTTATAATAGGAGGATAATTATATAACCTCGCTGCACCAGACTACCCCGAGGCTTGTTTAACTCCTGTGAAGAAGCATTTAGATACTTGGTTAAATGGTGTTTGAGAATGATGATATATTATTAATGTGTAATTAAAAGACAGAGAAACACAATAACTGCTGGTTGTGCTTCCTGTGATGCTATCGTAGTGCCAAGCAAAATGATAGAGGTCTCTGAAGGTTGTTATCACAAGCCCTCCTTTAACTCTATTGTGCCCTTCCATTGTTTTGTGTCTGCTAGTACCACTTGTCCAGAAATGCTTCCTTAGGCAGTCTCTGAATAGCCTCTATATCCCACTTGTGTGGGGCACTAAGGTC